TGTACACATTGATGGTACTAGAGGACGATGACATTATTCTATCTAGCAGTGTGTGTACTTTTAACAGTAGCTCCGTGCAAATATGTGTGGTTAACAGCATACAAGGTGTATACTGGCTGCAGTTGGGGGAGGATGGATGGATGGGGAGTGGCTGCGGGTGGTGTGCACCTGTGGGAGACTTGAGGATGGGTAACTAAAATCACTTTGGAGGAAATCAGAGAAGTGCAATGAACGTGTCCCACACCCTTATTAGGAGCAGAGGGATTCAGACAAACGACACTCCCTTTAAGGATATCTGTCCCATGTGTAGTGGGAAAGTTTAGTTGAGGGGATTAGATTTTGAAGTACAAATTTCAAAATGCATATAATGTAGACATAACAGATTCTCTACCAAATTCTTCAATTTCCTGTGTTGTTCCTATTGCCCCATATGAATTCTTTATGTAAACCCATACATCTCCTGCAGCTGAACAAAACAGCAGAGAAAAAAGTTAGAGTAATTTAAAGGCTCTTCTCCTAATGACTTATTGCAGGATGCAGTCTGTCAAATAGTTTGGAACATTTTAAAACATTGCAAGGTTCTCAATAGTTATTTCTTTACAAACAAATTCCAAGTGAATGCTGAATTTATCATTTGGAAACACATGGTTACTTCTCATCCCCAAAGAGTTCATGCTACATACATGCCTAAATACACATGGCACTGTTACAACCATACTAACTGAATCAAAATCTCAAAGTGCTAAGTTACATCAGAACATACAAGTATATTAATGATCTTCATGGGATAAAAGCCTCTCTTGAAACAACTAACCTCTTTAAGGACAGATGTGTATTTACTTGACAGCAGTATCTGAAGCCACTGGGTATACTCAGTATTTTAGGTCACGTATAAACTGAAACTGACTCCCTATCTTTAACAAACCTGAGTTTGAATGACCACAGGCTCAGGCCCCCAGAGCTACCAAGCCTTGCAGCATAAAAGCCTGAAGGCCAGTTACAAATACACACCAATTTCCTTTTTTCCTTTTTTCCTGTTTCCTCTGCTCCAGTTCCGCCACTCGTGGCCCAGGAGAAGCTGTCTTCCTTTTTTTCCTCCTCCTCAGCCTCTCACACTGGCCTCCAGCATCAGCTGAAGCATCAGCAGAGCTGTTGGCTGGCAGTTCTTGGCAGATACTAAGAGACTGTCCCCCAGATTCAGAGGCAGATGAAACACTCCCAGGATGAGTGGCATTGCTGCTCCTCTGGTTTTATTTCCAGGGAACCCCTGGGTGAGTGTGGGCAATACGCTAACAAGTCAAAAGACTCACAGGGCCAAAGTCTAGCTGCAAACCTGGGCTTACAGTAGAGCAGAAATATTGCTCAGCTTACACAGATCCCTGATCACAGCCCCATCAACCATACAGTTTCAAAGCAGACAGGATCTCAGAGCATATTTATGAAATAATTTTCTTTTATTTTAATGCAGTGGTGGGAAATGAAGAACCTGTAAGCACTTTTTGGAACCTACAAAAAAAAATAACTCTATCTATAAGGAGCTTAATAACCAGCTTATCAAAAAGTGGGCTAAATATCTTTCAGTGAAGGAATTTGCTATTCCAACGATCCATATTAATGGAATGAAAAAGTTATATAATAAAAGTTATATTATTTTAGACAGAGGATATAATCTATTTTCCTGATAACCATCAAGATATTCCTTAATGTATAGCTGAAGTCCCCCATGCCTCACTTCACAACACGAAGAATATAAGCTAGGCATTTTTCAAAGGAACAAAGTGTGTGGCAAGGGCAGCAAAAAAACTCCTCATATCTCCCCACCCCTCTATTTTTAAGGTGCTAGAATGGTATGAGCAACTTACACTTCAATTGTGTATGATGTGATGCATCTTTAATTTTTAGTCTTTTACTCAGTCATCAGTCTTTTTCTTCACAGGCACAACTTCATGCTCATTCACTGAAGAGATTACCATTGTCATTGTGGCCTAAGGAATTCTTTGCTTCTAATGCAGCTGCACCATCTACAACTCACAGTATTAATCTACACATCCTTGTTCTTTTTATTTCCCATCTCCTCCCATCCAGACAAGTGACAGGCACAGAAACTCCAGCAAAAAGGAGAAGAAACATAAAGTCCAAGCATACAATTAAGCCAGTGACCAGAGATTGAAATCCATAGTTTTTTGAAGGAAAATAGATATTTGTGAAATGTTTTTTGATACTAATGGAGTTCAAGCAATACTACAAATCATTATTTAAAAAACGTACATAAAGTCTTTGGAAACTGGTAGTTTTAAAATGCTTAAAACTCAGTGTGTTATTGGACAAAACAAATGTATTCATACAAACCTTGTTATTAGTTTTGGAGTTATAAGGGTAATACAGTCATAAAGCTAGCAAAACATTTTATCTGCAGGTAAACTCAAATAAATTCGGCAAAAACTGCAAATGAAGCAAAATCGTTGCTGTTAGGATATGTCACTAGGGAAGAAAGTCCAGTTCTTAAAATCAATTTATGCTTTTAATGACTGCTGCTGCTTTATGCCATTTATGCCAGTAAAATGATTTAAACCCTTGACCAGCAGTTGCATACATACAGTTGTGTGTAATTGCTACAAAGTTCTGATTTCTCAAGAAGATACATAAGACTGGAACAACTTTTTCCTCCTCACTGGATACCAAAAAAAATGACACACAGTGCGTACATTTTTCCCACTTTTTTTTTCTTTCTCATAAAGCCAAAAACATTGTTCCAGTTAGCAACATGCCATCTAACAAAATAAATTAATCAAATGCAGCTCACTTTTATATCCATTATTGAAAGATGTTTACAACCCATAAAATAGTTTCATAGCTTTCTTAGGAGATAACAGAACTACGTCTGGATTTTATCCTAATCAACTGACATGAAGGTTAATTAACTTCTCATGTAATTTTATTTTTTTTTAAAACAAATTGCAGTTTTACCTTTTCTTCAACTGAAAAGTTAAAAGCACATTCCCCATAAAAAAAAAAAAAAAGAAGTTTATTTTGTCCAGTAAAAATGAATACAGGAGATTGCCAACGTTCCCTAGTGATCTTTCATAGATACAAACTTGGAAGAGGGGTGTAGACAGAAAAGCAGAAGGTAAAAAAAAGCTTTACAAGTTTAGTTTGACAGATGATCAGAATTATTTCACCAAATTACAAGGCTCAAGAATTCTCGGACATACATGAAACATATAAATGTGATTAAATCATCCTTCAAACTGTATGAAACCAAAAAGGACAAGCAACAGCAGATGTTGCTATTGTACAAAAAAAGCTGGTGTACACATAATGCATGTTTTGCACGGCAATATTCAAGATGTACATTTTCAATAGGCCTTCATGAATTCCTTATGCTCTGCCATCACACTTGAAGATTCATTTTTAAAGAAATTAGAGTCCTTTTCATAGCATGAGTCAGGTCAGGGAGAGTCCTACCTACAGCACTTTTTAGAAAAGTGAGAAACAGGAAGATTAGAGATCACAAACCAAATCGTTCACAGTTTGTGACATCCTCAGTCTAAGATTACAACTGATTGAAGGAATACAACATACCTTTTGTCTTGCTCAAATTATATCAAATTAAAACAACTACAGTACTCCTTAGCTGGGCAGGGCATTTTTTTTTTAAGCAGCTGCTGGAAATAAGAAAATCACTCTGAGACTACTCACAAGGCGAGCAGCAGTGACAAAAGATGCTGTCTATACCAAAACACTTTTTATACTAGGTGTTAAAATGAAAGCAAAGACAATGACAGTGAAAACTGCTAGAAGCCTTACTTGCATTTGCATAAGATGCTGAAAATGTTAAAATTAAGAAAAAAAGAGGAAAAACTTATAATGCATATGAGTGCACAAGACAGAATGTAACCGTCTAAGAAATGCAACCAATCCACTTCCTAAAGACTCAGTGTGTTTTTAAGGTTCTGTCTTAGTGAAGTGTATGACAAAGCAAAGAATAAAAGAAGAGTGTGGATAGTTTCTTGGGACTTTTCTCCAGCTTGCATTTTTTAGCCGGTGAAGTGAAAAACTGCTTATTCCTATCAAGATAAAATTCCTTGATTCAACAGGGAAAGGTGCAGCATCATTATCATTGTGGAGGAGGAAGTAGTGGTGGTGTTCTGGTGAAAAAATACTGTCCTTTGCATCTTAAGAAAATCTAAGTGCAACTTTTAATTCTATAATAACTTAGGGAAAGCAGCATGGAACCAACTATTTATTGGGATATTGCTGAAAAACATGGCTACAAAACTTACCTTCTTCTATCACCTTCCCTGATTTCTCCTCTGTCTTCAAAGTTAGATTCTATCTATGAATATTTCTTATGAACTTCAATAAATTTATTTGGTGGCAGAATCCAACAAGGCCAACCCATGTTTGGGACAAAGCTTTTGTTTCATGCTTCACATTTATACAACATTCTTTCGAAGTCACATTGTTGTGCATGTTGTTGTTTATAATCTCACTGAACTACTTCATTACAAATTTTTCTTATGCAGGTATACATTTAAGTTTTCCATGTCTTCTTATGGACACTCTGCACACAAAGAATAGCATTTGACATAGGATTACGAGCATGTTGTTGAGCAAGGCCAACATATGGTGTTTCTGGAGTGTTCATTTGAGAACTAGCAGGAAAACAACTTTAATCCCATATTCCATTGCCTCCTAATGACATTTCTTTTAGTTCTTGAAAACACTAAACATGTGCATAAGCCCAACATCACTATAATGAAGGTCCACAGGTCAGAGACCTCAGTAACAGTATCATTCCAAAAAGATTTGAATATCTTATTATCTGGATAACTTGCTGCGTCAGGCAAATGGCTTAATACTATTAGTGTAATTCTATAAATTTACCTGCAGGAATTTTTTAAGCTACCACTTAAAATGAAAATGTACTATGTGTAGGGTTCCACACTGACTTGATCAATGAATGTCTAATGTATAAATAATTTTTTGTTCTTTCTTACCTCCAGATGCTCTAAAATATAGGGAGGATTTGTCATGCCAAGCCTCAGCATAGCTCCCTCAGGAATAACTTCAACCAGCTTCCACAGAAGCGTAGGGAGGTCTGTGCCAATGTCTCTGCCATAAGCCCCTGTGTCTTCACTGGTCAGCCATATCTCGCAAACACCCTCTGTGAATAAAAGAAAGAGATAATTAACAAATCTGTTTTAGAGCTGTTTATTTTATCATACAGCTGCTCACTCTGTTTAATGCAGTATTTCACAAGGCTATTATGCAGCCAGACTGGGTATTCAATTGTGAGGGGGAGGGAAGGAGGAGGAAGGCTTATCCCATGGGTAGCAGTGGGTTATTAAGTTCATTTTATGAGCACAAGAGTGCTACAACAATGCTGTAAATTATCATTGCTGTGCAGTGATTAACATTCACAGCCAATGACTAATTCTGTGCTGCTTCTACAGCAAGTCAGTCAAGTCTAGTACTCTGCTCTATTTTTTGAGTCTAATTCATTAAACACCGCAAGCGACTTTACCCAGAGTCTGCTTTAATGGTTGTTACTAGCAGTCAACTGATTAACTGGTAAACTTCCAATAAGCAAAAATAGCTCTAAAGCACAGTAACTAAGTACACTCCCGGCATAACTACTAAAACCTTGCATTCTTTAAATAATACAATTACCAATATAATATTAAGGTTGTATTAAAAAAGGTTAGTTGCTACTACATGACTAAGTGATAGTGTTGGAAAAGTGTTAACAGACAGGAAATAGGTTTATTTTCCATCAGTCAGGGCCTTAGGAAGCAGTATATTTGATTTGTATTGTAAAGAGTATTGACCTTGAACATTGAAATTTGGTAATATCCTCTTGCTCAAAGAGGGGAAAGATTACACCACCCTTTAATAATAGCTGAAAGCAACAAGGTTTCATGCAGCCACTTCTATCAGTCTGCCCAGCTTTCATCCTTTTTGTAACGCAATCCATTTCCACCCCCTCGCTACCCCAAAGCAAAAAATAAGCAAATTAAAATAGGGTGGCTGAGAGGAAGACTCCTGTGATTCCCAGTCAGATAAGATACCATTAAATTGATGAAGAGCTAGATTTCTAATACAGATGAGCACTCTCTGGACTAGTAGAGAACATATCACTAAATATGAATGTTTATATTATAAGATATATATTTCAGGTGAGGAAAATGCAAACAACTACGTGGAATTAAATCATTTAAGTGATAAAACCAGAAAAACAAATTTTACAAAAATGTAAACTCAAGACTGCCATTCAAACTCACCCTACAACAATGAAGGTGGACAGAAGGCTATGTTGAGCAAAGACAATTCTGTTTGTTTCAAAAGGTTTTCAAGGTCATTTATTTAGAACAACAAAAAATAAAAAATGAAGGTAAACCAAGAAACTCATCACTTAAGATTTGCTTTAACAATAATTTAGTGAGACAGATGTGCAGCTCTGTTGTTTTAAGAGGCCTAGAGGAACGTATTCTTGAAGCAGTGCTCTTGGTTATCCAACTTCCCATCGCAACCTTGCAGTCACATTCAGGCAGAGCTCCCCAGTGCCCCATCAGCCAAGCAGAACTTGCCAGCGTATGCAATCACACCTTAGATTCCATCGCTGTTGCTGATGTTTTCAGAACTGCCTTTCACAACAGCCAGTGCTATGCTATGAAATGTATTCTGAGGTTCACCACCTGGTCTACGTTTTCCCGAGTTACGGAAAAAGCCAATGAATTATGTATCGACTACATTTTAAGAACAAGAGAAACGTAAATGATATAAATGATGGCTAATGTCCTGCTGTGCTTTTTATATCAGTTTCCAACAGCCATCATAACACTGAAAAACAATAATTCAGTTGCTGTTTTTCTACTGTAACAGAGTAATTCTCATTTTTAAACTTTCAATCTAAATGGTTGCATGGGGCATTTTTTGCACGAACATGGCTGATGGAATACTGCCTCTTGGTCACCAGCTGAACGTTGAGGAAAAAGAATAAATCACTGGCTAGGAATGGAAATAACATTCACAGGGAAAACAACAGCAAGCTTTTAAAGCTGCATAGGTGGGGACCATTAGCCCCCCGGTGGGCTGAAACTTCAAATTAAATCACATGAAGAGGAAGCAGCTGTAAGAGTAAATCAGCAACAACAGGAATAACTGTCTCATCTGCTCTCCGATCAGGGTGTTGAACAACAAGCAATGGGAATAATTCATGCTGAGAGAGCCAAGGATGTAGTCTTACTATGTGGAGAAGGGGGGAGAAAACCTGTATTTTAGAAGAACGTTCGCTTCCCAATTTCAGGCTGACAAAATGGACCTTCACATCCTGAAAGCTGATATTGGTGCTAAGTATTCACAAACAGGGGAAATGAACTTAGTGCATAACTGTGGTGATACAGGCTTCATGTCAGCTGTTGGTAGGCTGGTTATTCAAGCCCTTTGCATCCTGAGTTTTAGGAGACTCTACTTAAACTGATCAAGAAAAGAAAACAGCAGATCTCCCAAACACTCTTCTTAGTGAACCAACGCTTATTTTTTTCACTCAACCTTTGCCCCTCTGCACTCCAGACCTATATAGGAAGCTATTCAAATCCACTGTCTAACCATGTGTTTTTTGTTGTTCTTGCTGTTTTTTCCTTTCTTTTGCACTGAACCTCATGAGCTCATTCGCTATTCTGTTATTTGATAATTTTGGTGCTAATAAAAGCAAGCTGATTTTGTAAACAAGAAAATTGATCCAAACTACAGAGTTGAGATGTGAAAATTTGGAGCATTTGCTACAGCATTAAGGTCAATTATCATTATATTCAAGTAGTTACAAGTCTGTCTTTGGTCGCAGAGCATTGCTTATTCCTCACTCTGCCATCACCACCCAGCACAAGAGTAGCTTCAACAGCTGGATTCCAATCTGTGCTCTCTTGTAATTGGAGATGACTGAGAATGAAAAATGTTGGAAAACAAAAAGTTTCCAAGTAAATGAAGGAGATTCTGAGACTATTCCTTCTCCAACATCTCATAAAGAATACTCATTCCTGATTATCCAAAATGCATTCTAACTTTATTTTTTTCCCCTCCTGGGGGTAGTCTAAACAATTCTTGTCATTAAAGAGAAGGAGAAGTCCTGAAATTGTCACTTTTATGAGATATGTACATTTCTGTTTTAAAGACCACTTGATATGATTCATTTCTTTAGTAATAATGAAAAAAATCTAGAGCTTTATATTTCACTTTATTTTCATGCCACTGTATTAAACACTTTTCAGCAGTAGCACACAGCTTTCAAATTGAAGCAAAATCTACTCCATCTGAAAAATAAATTTACTGCAATCTACAAAACCATCTGAAGTTGTTAAAATATCAGATACTAATCCTGCTGAAATTCTATTTGTTAGCCTGCTGTACTTATGTACAAATGAAAATTGTAAAAAAACTTATTTTTTCTTCTCCTTCCCTTCTTCTCATTCTTCTCTGACAGATTTTGTAATGTGAAAAGGAGTGCCTTCTCCAGCAGCACAATTCTCTGCAGGCTGCCACGGCGGGAGACCCCCAGCTCTGACCTCCTCGCTATCCCACATATGTTTATCAATAACTGCCTGACCTCCTTGCTATTCCTTCTCCAACAGTGAATTCTTATGGCAGCCTGCAGTGCTGTACAGACCACAGAAATACCTCTCCCACTGTACCACAGAAATCTGTAAGACCATCTGCCAAGGGGAGGTCTGACTTAAATGTTTGTCAGAAACTGCCTGCAGACTTGAGGACAATCCATCTAAAGCTGCCATTCCTGATCACACCCTTAGAATTAAAAAAAAAAAAAAAACAAACAAAAAACAAACAAAAAAAAACATAGCCAAAGAAAGAGAGAAAGGCTTGGAAAAATCAAATTCATTTTACATGTGCTTGTTTTTCAGAATGAGCTTACCCTACATAAATTCATTTTCTCTTCCGTTATTTGAATTTCCCCTCAGTTACTTCTCTCCATATTTTATTATTTATTTTTTAATTTACCTTTTCTTCAGCATGGATTTTACAAGGGCTATTTACATACTTGACACCAGAGCACGTGCCCAACTACTTTGCTGAGTCAGTGCCCTAACTGAACAACTATGAAGACATTTCTGTACATAACATATAACTGTATCAGCCTGAATATAATGCAAGTTTAAATAGAAACTGAGCTCTGTAGGAATCAAATTCCTTCTATACTTCTGAAGTACTCTGCAAGCATTGATGCAACTTCAAGAGTTCAAGTCCTCTTAGCCAGCCAGCCCAACCTCATGGATCACACCCCTGAAAGATCCCACAGCAGAGAGCTCCGGGAAGATTAGGTCAATCTCAGAGCAACTCACTGGTACTAACAGGCATTTGGAAGGGCTACTAACTTACATTTCACCAAGAAAGTGATATTTGACCTGTATATGAAGAAATTCTATAGCAGAGAGAATGCAGTTCCACACAAAACTCCTGTACAAACATACCCTATCCCAGACCCAAAGAGCTCTTTGTAGCTAATTGCTGCAATTAGAAATTGCAGGATATCTGCCATCAGATGATGAAAAAAGTAGACCGATAAAAAATACAGATGTAGGTACAGAGCTGGTGAAAGAAGCAAAATGTCAGGCTACGACATAAAGGAGTGATATTTTTTTCTATCCTTTGGAAAATGTGGGAGCAGAGCTGCAATGCTGGCCTAACACACACACATCCCATCGCAGTCTCACTTTCACCTGGAGGGACAAGCTCTAGATAGGTGTAACGCAGCCTAACTTTCTAAGGGATCTTTATAAGGCCCAAGCATATTTCCTCTTTTCAAAGATCCGTTCTTTACACCCTTCTGGACAGTCCTAAGGGAGTGAAAGATGATTGTCCACTCTTGTTTTCTTAATGCTGGCCATGTTCACTGGGGAACATCATTACTGACTGCCAGCTACACCTTGTACCATGGCTCAACCACCCTGTGAGCCTGGCAGTCCACCCAATTCTTTCAGCCGCCTTATCATCACCTTATCCAGGCCATATCTCAGCCATAGGTAAGAATATAGTACAGGAAACTATGCCAAAGTCTTCGCTAAATTTACAGTAAAACAATAAAACAAAACAACAAAACAAAACAAACAAAAGACCTCCACAGCTTTCCCCTCCTCCGCACAGCCAGACATC